ATAGCAGATTTTCTTGGTCATGTGGAATGATATTAATACTGGTACCAATCAATATATATCTTACAAAATCCGGCCACATATGTATGAAATTTACATAATGATTTTAGTAAATTATGAAGAAAAACCATAAATGGGGAACGTCCAACAAAATTAACGATCATATATCTTCCACATAAAATGTGTGATCATATATGTTCCGCATTAAATATATTTGATCATTACATATGAATTGATCATGACTAATGAGGAACATATTTGAATAGATCATCCTCATACTCTTCCATATAGTAAAAACACACACACACACACATGTATATACAAATTCGTACTAGGTCACGCACCGTGTTAATTTAACTACGTTTGATGTTTTGAATTATTATGACATGATCTCTAAAAGTCGGTATTTGTATATATGTTTCTGGCAAATCATGATATTCTAACTGACTACAATTATTGATCATAGGGATAACCTTTATTAAGACTGAGTTAGTCGTGAATCTTGATCATTAACGGGCTTAGAGATTTGAGACCTCTCTTACCCATTGAGAGAAGGAAGAGACAATTTTTATGTTTTTGGTATATCTGCAAATGAATTGTTTAAGGAAAATTTAGTCTAGTTATACAAATGAAAATGCTTAAAATCATATTAATAGAGATACAACATGAGTGCGCAGTAATAATTTTTTAAAAAATTAGATGTGTTTATTGTCTAACAAGACCTATGCTACGGTTATTGAAATAATTATCCCTAAAATTTTGTTGATTAGGCTCTACCCAAAATCAAAAGAAATCAATATGCCAATATGTATATAAAGAAGTTTCCGGTGCTATCATATACATAGAAAACTCTACAAAATTCTGATATCATATATACAAATATTATGAAAGACATGGAAGATATTTGGTTTTAATGGCCAAATGGTGAAAATGTACAAAATAATTTACAATAACTATATATATATATATATATGATCTTTTTAGTTCATTTCCAATCCACCTCTGTTTTTTTTTAAATAGAAATGGATTCGTTTCAATGTATTGATATATAGTATAATTTTTATTATAAAAATATATATAGAAATTTATTATTTTTACCTTTAAATATAGAAATAAAAAATATTCCTTCTGTTCCATAATCAAAGATATTTTGGCTAAAGCACATGAATGAAGAAACTTAATTTTCTTAATGATATTATTATTAATAATATAATTTAAAAATAAATCAATCAGTTATAAATAATTTAATTTAATTTTATTGGCCAATCAATCTTTGAAAAAATCTTCTATTATAGAATGGAGGGAGTAACATTTTCTATATTTACTTATAAAATAGATAAAATTTGTTATATAATCATACATCTTAGCAAATCATCTTTATAATAGAAATTTATCTTTTAAGAAAATATAGAAATATACATTGAAGATATTTTGGGGGTACGTATGAACTTTGAGAGATACATTTATTACAAGGCTAAGACGTTGAATAAAAATCTTTATTTCTCGACTGGATTCAGTTAAAGCCATCCATTCATTAATTAAATTGTTAACATAAATAATAATAAATATTGAGCAAAAAACCCAACATAATTAATAATTATAACCTTGTTTTCGTATATAATATTTTAAAAGAGATAGGACCACAATGGTATGTTTCGACAACTTTTCGTTCTCCTTTCAGCAATATAACAAATGAGTATCGTTGATTAATTCAATATATGATTAATATAATATAAGCATATGCGTTTATTCTTGTTTACTGACGTGGCCAGTGACGACTATGACTAAACAAGTGATTAACTATATTATCAAATAATCAATGTAGCATAACAGTAATTAAGAAGACTAAACAAAAATAAAAAATGTTGTGTAATGGATTCCACTACACCACTAAGCAATTATTTAATAAAAGTTAATTAACTAATATATGTATCATTATTATTCCCACTCATGGGTTCGGTTCATATTCACTTTGAATGGTCATATATTCCAAATCATATTTATCTTATTTTGGTATATGAGTCTTTTGTGTTTAAATATTTACAACTTGAGAGAATATCCGTTAAATTAATCAAGGCTTAAAAGTAGATGCTCGAGAAAAGGTATTTTTTTTTAACGCAGCTAAAATGACGTCCAGATTAGCCATTGTGATATGCAAGCATGAAACCCCATGCAGGAGAAAGAATCACTTTGAAAATTAATTTAATTGATGTGAATAATTATTTATGGTAATTTCATACTCTTGGCTTTTCTAGCAGTGTCATATTTTACTCTTTGATTTCATCTTTGGTGATGAAATTATATTCTTTCAAATCTCCACGCCACTTTGCAAAGATTTTCCCGTACAATAGCATATATTGCACTGTTTAAACATTTTGTGGTTTGTAATGCGTTCGCATAGTTTTATAAAGTGATGCAAAAATATTGTGATTGTGTTTCGTAGACCAGGCAGATAACTCTACGGTAGTTGCTGACAAAATAACTCTAGTGTATTTTTGATTGGTGGATAGACTGATATCTAGAGGATAACCAAATGGTGTAACATATTTTTTTGGAATGGCGTAAACAAAAAATACCGTTCTACGGTTCAATCTAAAACATGAAGAGTAGTTTTCAAATAGTTTAAGCTGAGCTAATTTGTCTTATACTTTTTCATTATCTTGTCATACAGTATTTGAAATATTAAAGGGAATATTTAAAAAGTAAATAATATGTTATCTGTTGTGAAACGTCTTCCAGCGTTCTAGCTAGGTATAACTTCAAGATTTGAAACCCCAATATTTATAAGAGCCGTGTTGCAAATATTCCCATATAATAGTATATGGAATTTTCCCATATAATAGTATATGGAATTTAAAATGTATACACAACGTTGTAGACTAGTATCGCATTCATTATCATCGGGAAAAACAAAGAAATAAGAAAAAATTGTCTATATAGGAAGAGAAAAAGGTTCATGGGAGAGAGCAGGTTTTCTTCCTCTGTGACTGTAATTGAGCAAACTACTAGGACAAGTAAGCATTTAACACGTGTCGCTCTTGAATACGACCTAACAGCGTGGCAATTTCTCTAACTCTGACGTGTCGGAGTGGGGACAACTTTCTCTTCCGACACTTCAGCATGGCTTTCACATTCACTTTTCTCTTCCCATCCTCGCTTCAGAAGCGCGTCTTCCCACTCTCCTTCCTTCTCCAGTAAATAATTTTTCTTTTTCTTTTGAGCGTTCATATTTATTTTTCTGCAACGGTAATCCTACTGATCTGTAAGACCATATTCACTGTACCATTTATATATTTTTACTCCAAAATTATAGGCTATTAAAGAATTGAAAATAAAATAATAAACAAAAATAGAACTATCATTTAATTCAAGGAATAATTTCATCTTTCACTCTATAAAAATAGAAAATGGAATAGACTTGGAGTATTTAATAAATAATTGTTGACAAAAAAAAAGAGATTTTACTAATATAATCTCTGGGGATTCAAAAAAAAAACTAATATAATCTCTTATTTGTTGTAAATAACAGAGAGCGCGTGAAGAAAACGAGTAAAAAGAAACTCTCGAACTGACTCAGCACGTGCTAACATAACTCACTCGGTTCCCAAGACGCTCGTCCCATAAAGAGTCATGGCTGTGGCTTGTGCGAGTGTGGGTGTTAGCCATAATAGTGGGTCCAAATTAAGATTCATCGATTAATGGCACATTATGTAACAATACAAAAATTAACTTACACAAGAATTTTTTTTTAAAAAAGCCTCGCCGGGGTAAGCCGACACCTTTGCCTGCCACGATCCAGACATAAGGAAAATAGACGATGTGGGTAACGGCACCGTCAAGTCTTGATAGAAACGGGATAAGTTGTAACGTTTAGGCTACATCATTGTCTTTATCGGACGGCTAAAAGTGATCCTCACTTGTTGAATGCACCACCGTACGTTTTGCAAGTTAAAACCATGGTTGAAAATGTAGTTAAAGACAGATCAATCAAAGCAGCTCCGTAATAATTATGTAACGTCGTTATTCTTCGTTTACCTTTTCTATACCTTTGTAGTCTTAAATACTACAATTTATATTTATACTACAATTTATACTTTCCCTGTTTTTTTTATTACATGGCAAATTTATGTTATATAATATAGTCTATTTTAATATTTTATTATTGGTCAATTTGTATTTAAGTAAATAACAAACAATATTTTATTTAAAAATTATAAAATAATATTTTCGAATTTATGTGCATAATATTAAAATGACATCTAATAAAAAAAATGGTGGGAATTTCATTTATGAATGAATTTCAATTTGGAGACAAAAAAAAATAGTGGGAGTGTTTTGGAAATTCTAGCAAAAAACTAAATATAATATTGGAAACAAAATTTGGTTTCCTTTTTAGAGCTGACATGACAATCTTTTTTCTTACAATTTAGAAAATTTCAATAAATGAGTATTATAATGAGTTTCAACTCAAGTTACAGAGGGTGTAAATGACAGGTTCACAGAATCTTAACTAATAAAGAGAAGAATATATTTATTTATATATATAGATATACTCACATATACATACGAGAGTGTGAATCTTTTGCATGATACCGTGAGAGACTTCTTCAACAAACAAAAAAGAAGGAAGCAGCTTTGGTTTGCTGCAGATCGAGGTTAGGTTAAGAGAAGTAAGCAAAGCTGGAGGAAAAAACGGCGAGAAGTTTATGATTCTTGAGGCAAGACAACACGCAATCTGAGAGGAGAAGAGAAAAGGATTGAAGCAGAAGGAAAGAGAGAGAGATTAATATCCAACTAGTGTCTGAATGTTTTTCTGTAATGAATACGGACATAATAGTCCGTTGGTGTCCTGAAAAAAAGAAGCAAAAAGTTTTTAGCTTTTAATATCTCTTTCTTTCTTCTCTCTCTGTGTTTTTTTCATGAGGGTTAAGCCTAGTGTTTAGCGCGTGAAGGGCTTCTTGTTTCCTCTTCTTCTTCTTGTATCTTTCATCTGGGTTTCTTCAATGGCGAATGTAGATGGAGATGAGTCCAGAAGTTCTCTCCCAAGTGAGTCAAAGTTTCATTTTTTATTGTCTTCACCATTGACTCTGTTTTGTTGCTCTGTTTTTGCTTCTAAAGTTAAAAATTTTCTGCTTCTTGTTGTGTCTCTGAAATGTAACTGTTATAGTTTTGTTTGTTTGTTTAATTTTTCAGGTTCTTATCATGATCAGTTATACACAGAGCTGTGGAAGGCTTGTGCAGGTCCATTAGTGGATGTTCCTCTTGTTGGAGAGAGAGTTTACTACTTCCCTCAGGGTCACATGGAACAAGTATGTCTTTTACCAAATTAATCTTTTTTTTTTTAAACTCCAATTCTCTTTCTCAATTGTGGGTTTTTTTTTTTTGCAGCTTGTGGCTTCAACTAATCAAGGAATTGAATCAGAGAAAATACCTGATTTTAAACTTCCTCCCAAGATACTTTGTCAAGTTCTTAGTGTGATGTTAAAGGTAAAAGCTTGATTATAATTCTTGCTTGTCCCCTCTTCTTGTGAATTCACCTGAATCTGTTTTGATGTATAGGCAGAGCATGAAACAGATGAGGTCTACGCTCAGATCACATTAAAACCAGAGGAAGATGTAATTTTCTTTANCCTGATTTTAAACTTCCTCCCAAGATACTTTGTCAAGTTCTTAGTGTGATGTTAAAGGTAAAAGCTTGATTATAATTCTTGCTTGTCCCCTCTTCTTGTGAATTCACCTGAATCTGTTTTGATGTATAGGCAGAGCATGAAACAGATGAGGTCTACGCTCAGATCACATTAAAACCAGAGGAAGATGTAATTTTCTTTAATAGTTTGAGCTTTGTTAATTTGATTATGAGAAAGTGATTTTTGAGTTTTTATTTATTTATTTCTTGCAGCAAAGTGAACCTACTAGTCTTGATCTACCAGTTGTTGAACCAACAAAACAGATGTTCCACTCCTTTGTTAAGATTCTAACAGCTTCAGACACAAGCACCCATGGTGGATTCTCTGTTCTTCGTAAACACGCCACTGAATGCTTGCCTGCCTTGGACATGACACAGGCTACTCCTACTCAAGAACTTGTGACTAGAGATCTTCATGGGTTTGAATGGAGGTTTAAGCATATATTCAGAGGTAATTAACACTAAAATCATAAAATATATTGTTTTCTTGCAACTTGGGTTTTGTATAAGTGAGACACTAGAATTTGACCGTTTTTTTTCCATTTTATATATATAAATACTTAATAAAAAATGTGATATACACATGAAAATAGGGTTTAATTTCATTTTTGTATTTTAATAAGTTTGATGAGAGTTGTTTTTTTTGGTATAGGACAACCTAGGAGACATTTGCTTACTACAGGTTGGAGCACATTTGTCTCCTCAAAAAGACTTGTAGCTGGAGATGCTTTTGTGTTCTTGAGGTACTATAACTTCTTCTGAAACTTTACTAGTCTTGTTTTAGTTTTAATGAAACTCTTTAAATGCCTTTTGGGTGTTTTAGGGGTGAGAATGGGGATTTAAGAGTTGGAGTGAGGCGTTTAGCTAGGCATCAGAACACCATGCCTGCTTCAGTTATCTCAAGTCAGAGCATGCATTTGGGAGTCCTTGCTACAGCTTCTCATGCTGTTAAAACCGAAACAATGTTTCTTGTGTTTTACAAGCCTAGGTAGGTGTACATGATACTCTTTGCTATATATTCAACATTAATTCTCTTAGAACTTTAGATTTTAGATTAAAAGTTTTTGTATTTTCAGGATAAGCCAATTCATAGTAGGAGTAAACAAGTATATGGAAGCTATGAAGCATGGATTCTCTCTTGGTACCAGATTCAGAATGAGATTTGAAGGAGAAGAGTCTCCTGAGAGAATGTAAGATTCTTTATTTAATATCCCCTTTTTTTTCTTCTGATTATTAGTTCAGTGTTCTTGATTTTGTATGGTTTGAGTTTCTTTCAGATTTACTGGTACTATTGTGGGAATTGGAGATCTGTCTCCACAATGGCCAGCTTCTACATGGAGATCACTGCAGGTCCAATGGGATGAGCCAACAACGGTTCAAAGACCAGACAAAGTCTCACCATGGGAGATTGAGCCTTTCTTGCCATCTTCCCCAGCTTCAACACCTGCTCAACAATCACAACCCAAAAGCAAGCGGTCAAAACCCATTGAATCATCGGTTTTGAGTCCAGGTCAAGCTAGTTTCTTTCACAGCTTCCCTCAGAGCCAAGATCCATCAACTGAGAGATACTTAGGCGTCCAAGCTGAGCCTCCTCCTGCGAGTTCTTGCTATAGGTTGTTTGGATTTGATCTCACTAGCAACCTTCCTGCTCCAATACCTCGAGACAAGCAACCGATGGATACTTGTGAAGCTTCCAAGTGTCAAGACCCCATCACTCCTAACTCAGCTGATGAGCCAAAGAAGCAACTAACATCAAGAACTCGAACCAAGGTATCTTTAATCACTTTCATAAACAGTATAACAAAGTTTTGAAATGTGGTTTTTTCTTTAAAAGGTGCAAATGCAAGGGATAGCTGTTGGTCGTGCGGTGGATTTAACGCTGTTGAAATCATATGATGAACTGATTAAGGAGCTTGAGGAGATGTTTGAGATAAAAGGACAGCTTCTTCCTCGAGATAAATGGATCGTTGTGTTCACTGATGATGAAGGTGACATGATGCTTGCTGGAGATGATCCATGGAAGTAAGTAAACCATTTACGGTTCAGTTAAAATCAATTGATATGAAGTAAACCGGAACTGGTTTGATAAAGTAATTATTGAATGTTTTGTTTTTTTTGTCTGTGCAGTGAGTTTTGTAAGATGGCAAAGAAGATATTTATATATTCGAGTGATGAGGTTAAGAAGATGACTACAAAAATGAAGAGTTGTTCGTCGTTAGAGAATGAAGTAAGCATGGATTAATAATCTGTCATTGTGGAGTCATAATCTTCGTTAGGTGTGAGAGTTTAGTAGTTGTGTTTAATTAAGGTTATTCGGAGACATGGTTTTAGTAACTTTGGTCGCAAGGTTCTGTCTCTAATAGACTCAAGATTTTTCTAATCTGTGTATATAAAACGTCTTTCATGATCTTTCGGCCTTTGTTCATCATAATGGGCTAATGGGCCATTGAATAATGGGCTAATGGGCCAGTGAATAATGGGCCGTGTTGTTGTAGATGTAGTCTGTGGTTGTGAGGTGAATTTATTCCGACTAATCTTCTCAACAAAAAGAGTATGGTTTGACTTTCAGTTTTAAGGTATATCGTTGTGCTGTTCAGAAAAAAAAAAGATATATCGTTGTAATTGTCACCAGTGTGATACTTCGTCGGTTACTTATCTAGTGGACCAATTACTTATGTGGGCTTTTATAGGCCTAACAATTGACCCAATAAAATTTAATAATTGAATCTCGAGTTCAAACTTTTTTCATGATCGAGCTGGATACGAATGTATGGTTGCTCAATATCACATGGATAGCATGTTGCGATAAAGTACAGTGGACCACATAGAATGGCCTAATAATGCATAATCAGTGGCTAGGATGTGATTCTTTCAGATGCGATCATCATTACNCTAACAATTGACCCAATAAAATTTAATAATTGAATCTCGAGTTCAAACTTTTTTCATGATCGAGCTGGATACGAATGTATGGTTGCTCAATATCACATGGATAGCATGTTGCGATAAAGTACAGTGGACCACATAGAATGGCCTAATAATGCATAATCAGTGGCTAGGATGTGATTCTTTCAGATGCGATCATCATTACGTCAAAGCGGTCCAATAAATTATTTTTTGTACAAATTCGGTGGCTAAGATTCTTGTAATATTTTTTTCCATCAACTTAATCTCTATTTTAACTTTCATTAACCACTGAACTACTTAATGTTTTATCATATATTTTGGTCAATATTTTATATAAACAAAAAAAAGACCGAAATGGTCAATATTTTATATAAACAAAAAAAAGAACCGAAAGCTTATGTTTCTATTGCTTCGCTACTGATTCGCTTCAACCTAGTGGTGGTAGACCACAAGACGTGATTTGGTCGTTTAAGGCTGGAGTCGGCAGGCAAGGTGATCCGAGCAGCACAAAACGACACGAGAGATTGAGAGAGAGTAAGGAGAGGGTGTTTGGGTTGGAAAGATAGGTGTCGACGTCAGGAAAGAGAAAGGATTCAATCAAAGAAACAGTCCTTTAGATTATAAAAAGTTAAAGATTTCAATCACGCCCTAAACTAGGGCCCATCCACTTCCTTTTTGTCGCTTCCTGTCGGTCCTTCCCTAATTCTCCTCCCATCTCTCATCTTCTGAACTACTACTGTATATATCGATAACCAAACTTTTTTTTACCATATAATCAATGTGTATTTTATTAAGCAACATAATCAAGATTTTCCTATGACTAGTTTTATTTTCTCTAGCTACCGAAGCTTATTTATGATGCTCAATTTTAATCGGTATGGTTTAATAAATTTTGCAACCATCATTGACTACAATAAAGCAGGTTGGATAGTTATGTTATTAACACGTGATTAGTATTTTGAATGAGTCGTGCAATATGGTTTGTTTAAAAGTTTTTTTTGGAACAAATTGTTTGTTTAAAAGTTTCTCTGTATTTTTTTGTATTGGTTTCGATTTTCAGTTTATGTGCTTTTTACAAACTTTTATTCTAATTATATTATCTGATTAACGCGCATTTGTTATTGCTTTACTTAAGAATAAAATCATAATAACTTTATTTGCCATGTGTTGTATAATAAAGCAGAACAATATATTGAAATAAAGGGTGAAATTTTCGTGCCACTTTATTCTTAGAAATATAATAATAAAATAAAATAAAGTAGTACGTTCGAAGAATAATCAATAATCCCTAATTACAGTCAACAGATATATAGTATTTTATATAAAGCTTAAACGAAAAAACAATATGTGCTTTATGGACCATGCTAAGTCATATATTTTGTATAAATTAATCACGTAATAAGAATTTCAAGTTCATCACCGAATTTCGCAACCTAATCTACACATACTTAATAAATCAATTAAGAGATAATGTCTATTTTTAACGTCAATTATACGCGTAGAGATGATATAACGTATACCGTGAATGGGTTTTTGACATTGACGATCGTAAAGCTAAAATGATAATTTTAAATCCCAAAATGGATGGGCGGGAATAGTATACAACTCATAATTCCACTGACGCTTTGTATTATTGCGACACGAAATAAGAGTAATCAGCATGAATATAAAGACATACTCCTATAACATAATATTCCCCATCTATATTGATATATAGGTTTACTAGCTACGAATAGTTGATGGTTACTTGACGGTAAATACAAAATATACTATCACAAACTACAATCAATCCACAACAAAGAGAGCTTTATATTTTTCATAATCTCAGACAGTAGCAATAGATAGTTATTGTATTTTTTTGGTTAAGTTGAGATTTCAACATGAGAGTTTAATTAACCACCACATAGGGAGAATATAATTATGTAAAATGGATATGAGAAGCTGAAAAGTGAAAAAAACGACCAACAGTTTAGTCGAAAAAGTGGTAAAACTGAAACCACAATATTCAAGGTATTAGTTAGTTAATTTGGGGATATATGCAAACTCATTATAGCTCATCCAAATTAAATACCACGTAGAAAGGCATCCAAAGAGAAGCTCAAAGAATTTACTTGAATATTTGAACTCCGTATAAATAATATAATCACTGATTTTATTGAGCCAACCAATTAGATAAATATAAAAATTAAGCCTCTTTATTATTTTGAAAATACATAAAGAGGGACCAGAAAAGAACTAGAGAGGGAGGCCATGAGACATTTATCACTAGTCAAAAACAACAAACCCGTCTTTTGCTTTTTAATATAAAATATTAAATTTTAGTTTTGCAGGTTTCTTCTCTTCTTCTTCCTTCCTCTTGGCTGCTTTATTTCATCATCCATAAAGTGAAAGCTCACGCATAGAGCCATATCGTCCCAAAAAAGAAGAAGAAGCAAAAGTCCAAAAAACACTCTCCTAAACATTCTCTCTTTGTTCTTTACTCTCTCTCTCTCTGCCTTTCTCTTTGTCAAAGTTCATGGATGCTACGAAGTGGACACAGGTACGTTAAAAAGATCTCTCTTTGCTATATCTGTTTGTTTCTTCTTCTTTAGCTCTCTCCAGCTCTCTCTCTCTCTCTCTTTGTATATTATATATATATCCATACTGACATGGTCACATACATTCTTATGATGCTTCTTGTGGTTATATACATGTCTAGTCTCATAGAGAGAGATATATCATGTATGTTTTCTTATTGGGATTTGTTTTTACATATGAATATTTGCATGGGAGATTATCCGTTTCAAAACTTTTGAAAGGACTTAAAGAAACTTTTGTTCTCTACAAGTTCACCTTTTTATGTGATTAATTATGGATTTTGATTACTAATGGATAAAAAGGTATGATTTGTTATTTACCTTTTGTTCTTGGTGCTCAGGTCTTACCAAATTAAATTTCTCTACCGTGCTTTAGTTTCCCCTTTTCAGAATTAATTTTCTTTTAAAGCACCGACGATCTTACCACAAAAAACCCTATTTTTTTCTTCAAATTGAGCTTTAATTATTATTTTATTACTCAAAAATTTAGTTAACATCACCAAACCCTAATCTTGGAGAGCTTCAGGCCTCCGTATGCAATTGTTATTATTCTATATTTGACATGGTTTGTGATTCATTACATCTTATCTTAATTATTATAGGGGTTTCAAGAAATGATAAACGTGAAACCAATGGATCAAATGATTTCAAACACCAACAACAACACATCGCAACAACAACAACCAACATTCATCCCCACCACAACAAGGCCAAACCCCACCGTAACCAACGGCGGCTCCGCCGGAAACAACAACAACAATACGGCTACTACGATGGAAACTAGAAAGGCCAGACCACAAGAGAAAGTAAACTGTCCAAGATGTAACTCAACGAATACAAAGTTCTGTTATTACAACAACTACAGTCTCACGCAACCAAGATACTTCTGCAAAGGTTGTCGAAGGTATTGGACCGAAGGTGGCTCTCTTCGCAACGTCCCTGTTGGAGGCAGCTCAAGAAAGAACAAGAGATCCTCAACACCTTTAGCTTCACACTCCAACTCCAAGCTTCCAGATCTAAACCCACCGATTCTTTTCTCAAACCAAATCCCTAATAAGTCGTCAAAGGATCTCAACTTGTTGTCTTTCCCGGTCATGCAAGATCATCATCATGGTATGTCTCAGTTTCTTCATATGCCCAAGATCGAGAACAACAATACATCATCCTCAGTCTATGCTTCATCGTCTCCTGTCTCTGCTCTCGAGCTTCTAAGATCTAATGGAGTCTCTTCAAGAGGAATGAACACCTTCTTGCCCGGTCAAATGATGGATTCAAACTCAGTCATTTACTCATCTTTAGGGTTTCCAACAATGGTTGATTATAAACAGAGTAACAATAACCTTTCATTCTCCATTGATCATCATCAAGGGATGGGAAATAACACCATCAACAGTAACCAAAGAGCTGAAGATAATCATCAAGGGATGGGAAACAACACCATCAACAGTAACCAAAGAGCTGGAGATAATAATCATCATCATGCTGATGACATGAATGGAGCAAGTAGGGTTTTGTTCCCTTTTTCAGACATGAAAGAGCTTTCGAGCACAACCCAAGACAAGAGCCATGGTAATAATACATATTGGAGTGGGATGTTCAGTAATACAGGAGGATCTTCGTGGTGAAAAAGGTTAAAAAGAGATCATGAAATTATTGGCTTTTCTTCTCTTTTTTTCACCTTTTTAACTCCTTGTTTATTATATATTTACTTTGATGATCTTTTGTTCTTTCTCACATGGGGTACTTTAGTTAAAGTTGTCAGGACTTAGTTTATAGATTGTCTTTTATATTCCTTTCTTTCGGGTGTTTTAAATCGTAATAGTGTGTGGTGATAATTTTCTTTCGTATTGAGGAGTGAGTGCTGAGGGATATCGTACGAGGGTAGAAGAATAAGTGAATATGAGGGGCATTGTGTGTAACCAGTGAGATCTGTATTCATCATTTCTTCTATTTGCAGAAGTATTAATTTGTGTAATTCTTTCGTCTTTTATTTTAATCAGTTTAATATATATATATATTTTAGTGGTGTAAACATAAAGTTTGGTACATTTTTATTTTGGTTGAGTGAATACTCCATAAGTTTCATATATTTACTAGCTATGGATTATATAGTCACTGTTATAATAACAATTCATCACTTATGTTCAGTACCGGCCCTGAATATTTTCAGGCTGGAAGCAATTTAAAAAAACAAGGCTGATTGTTGTAACAAAGAATCGAACTCAATACCGATATGTCTACATTGGCTTTAATTAACCATTAGACTACTTAAGGTTTCTGTAAAATTTGTGGCCGATAAATTATTAATACAGAAAAGGCCGGAAGTCTATGCTTCCTTTGCTTCCCCTCAGCGCCACTACTGCTTATGTTTAGTCACGAACCAAATATATATATGTAATGCTGATCAGTGCTGAGATGGATAGCAGCAGCAACGAGAGATTTCATGGAACCACTAAGCTAAAATATAACAGAAGATGACCAAAAAATATGATTGTGGTAGTGTTATCTTTGTCATTGCGAATGCTATCAGCAATTCTGTTAGCTGTTTCTGTTTTGCTATAGACTAAATATCCGGTCCAATATTTCTATATTCTTTTTGGTGCCCTAAACTTATTTAAATTTTTTTATCTCTATTATTCATGTAAATTTTTATAGTATTCTATATATAACTAAAATTATTATTTAAAGTTATAATGTTCTAAATGGTCGTTTATCTCATTCCGGATCAGTTTATCTCGTTTCCGGATCGGCCCTGCGAATTATGTATGTGATTCTATGTAAATGAGTGATAGAACACAAGTATAAAAACGAGTCAGACAAAGAAATAGCTTTTACTTATCAAAAGAAAAAACAAGTATAAACCATGGGCAAAATATAACTGAAAAATTTATTTATTTTTACATAAGTTGGAAACGGTGATAGCTTATTCCATGTAATCAGAACTCAATTCATGTGAGCGGAATTACTTTTCTCAGAATTTTCAGCTTTTTCAGTTTATATAATTCACAATTATTATCTTCTAGACAACTACTCCCATACTAGTAAATTAGCTGGAGTAATTAATTTATAAAATGCCCCCATACTAGTCAATTTCCATCAAAATTATGAGTTATCTTTTACCCAAAAAAAAAGTTATGTGTTATCGTATCTTTCTCCAGTAACTTGTGTTGTCAATTAGTCATAATCCACTAGTTATACGATCTGGAGCGCAAAACTTACGTCTCGATACAATATACTAAAACTATGATTAACTCCAGTTTCTTAATTGGGATCTTAGATTAAGAAATATCTACTCCCTCCGTTTCAATTTAGTTGTCATTCTATGTTTTTGCACACAAATTGAGAAAATAATTAATTTTACATATTTTCAAAACAAAAACACAATTACCTATACACCTAACCACTTTTCAACCAATGAAAAAATAAAATGACATTTAAAATCAATAAATTTTGCACTGAAATTATAAAACGACACTTATTTTGAAACGACAATTTTACTCTAGAATGACATATAATTTGAAACGGAGTTAGTATTAAATAAGAGATATAAGAACTTTTTCTTAGTCGAAAAATGTAAAAAAGAAATGTCAAAATCATAAGTTAAAAATTCCGGCTAAGAGATCGGGATTAATCATGCTCTAAAAATTTATCAGTTCAGAATTTAAATAGCGAGTGCTAAAAATAAATAAATGTGATTGGAATGATTATCCACGAAGAGTCATGATTATCGAATCCCAAAGCATCACATTTTGAAGAAACATTTATGTTAATAGAGTCTTCAGCTTTTTTGACTTTTGTGTCCGTGCATGAACTTAGCAATGTTTTATCCTTTTAACGGAATTCATTACTAATCCCTCTACTATATTCTATAGGTATTATATTAGCATAACGAGAGCTTTTTATACGAGATAATACTAAAACACAAAACAAAAATCCTGAAACGGGAGTTATTCTTCCTTGTATAGTGAATTATTAAGAATTTTAAATAAGAAGTTTCAAGCTGGGAATTAACTCACTAACAATTTTTTAAAAATGAAGCCTATACGTTAACCTGCTCCAACTAAAAGCCGTTTGTAACATTAATTAACTTAACACTCCGTCTGCAGTATGCGTGGATCTGTAAAATATGGTCATTTTAATGAATAATCATCATTTGTAGTTAAAAGTAATTAAATCCCTTGAAGCAAACACCCACTGAGACTGAGAGACGACAACGAACTTTTCTTCAATTCCGTTATTACCAGTTTCAATGCAATGTCACATTCCACTCGATATTAAATTATAATAATAATTTAAATAATAATAATAATCAGCCGTATCCTTCACGTTCATCCACCTAATCCGCTAATTAATCTTCTAATTAAATGAAAGTGACCTTCTAAAGTTCTAATTGATCCATGGTAATTTCAGAAATCGTATATTTTTTTTTGCTGAAAAAATCGTAGTATTATTTACTAGGATAAACTTCATTGTATAAGCACTACATTCCAGAAAAGGTTAAATTTGATTTGGTAAGGTTACCACAACCCGTACACCAATAAATTAAGTTATTTTCTATTGCATTTATCTTCTAAATTACAAACCAGTTGGTGAAGCTACACTATTTTGAGTAATTCTTGGATTTATTTTCTAGGGTAAAACTCTAGGTTCACCGACCAATATAATTACGTTATTTTATATTTAATATTTTTTAAAAAAGAAACATAATATTGTCGAGTTATATTATGTTTTTAAAATTTAAAAGATAAATAATAATAAAAAATAGTAGTTGTAAAAGAAATTCTTTAAAAAAATATTTTTAATGCTATTATCAAAACACTAAACTTTAAACCCTAAATCCTAAAACTTAAACCTTTTCGGTAAACCCTTGGATAAATCCTAATCTTTGACTTAAAAAAAGAAAAATTCATTCAGACAGCAAAATACTAAATCCTAAATCCTAAACCTTAAACTTTTGGATAAACTCTAAATCCTTGGATAAATGATAAACCTTAGGATTTATGATTAATCCTTTAGGATTTATAACTAATCCATCACTTTAGGATTTATCCAATGATTTAGGGTTTAATTTTTTTTTGACGGTATTAAATATATATTTTTTAAAAGTTTTTGTTTGCAGCTGTAGTATTTTTATTATTTTTATCTTTTAATTTTCAAAACATAATATAACTTGATAATATTTTATTTCTTTTTTAAAAGATACTGAATATGAAATAACGAAATCCTATCGGTACGCTGTGAACCCAAGAATCTCTCACATATTTTACACAACTTGCTATGTTTAAAGGAATGTTTTTATTTATTTGGATATGATGAAAACAATCAAAAGTGATATGTATCAGATATTTACTAATTTGAAATAAATATACAATATATACTTTTGTCGGAATAGTATAAGATAAATGTGAGTATGAACACATGATGATTAGTAGCTGGCTTGAAATGCGGAAGTAGATGCCCACTTTATAGTGCCCGCCAACCAAACATGATTTTTCATTGGGTTTGTGTTGTTTTGGTTATTTTATTACTGACTATATTTTAATACTACTCTTAATTACATTTAAGTATATATGATAAAATCAAACGCGATATTCTCGTAGTCTATAACAGATCTAGATTTATCTGCGCATGGTCGCTTTATTCAAAATAATCGAGAAAAAATAGCGCAACGGATCCATCGAGTCAACTATATTTTATTTTAAATACAGAAAGCTGTTATCTTCAGGCCAAAGAAATCGAAGGAATAAAAAGACCTGTCTCGAATATAAAGATGAATCTATATCAAATAAAATAGTTCTGGACATGTAATAAAGAGGTGACACACCGATACTTAAGTCGTTAAAAATATACAAATTACTGTTTTTGTTGGTTAGGGAAAATTGACAAAAATATTTTTAACTTTTAAACTCCGATTCAGACCCGCAGACCACCAAATCAATTAATTAAAAATCTATGTTAAACATACATTAATATACGTTGAGAATGTGGTTATATATTTTTAAACAAGTGCAAAATCTTATAGATAGAATTTATCAGAAAATTCAATCTTTTCATATGGGTTGTTAATCTACATATTTCAAGATAAATTAGAAAATGTGGTATTTTGTTTTAATGCATAGTTGTTCATGCACTGACATAGTATAAAGACTAAAGAGGTTTATGACCTTATATGTTCCAATTTCTTTAGAAAATAAAGATTTTATAGGGATTAATACACTAATTAGATCATATGTGAAGTTTAAATAAATTACTCATTGGAAAGTCATATATTATACCATGTACCATGAAAAATGTTTAGCATAAATTATTATACACTGAGAGTATGGTTAGGTATTTTTAAACAACACTAAAGTGTCTAAAAATTATAGATATAATTTATCAAAAATTCAAATGTTTTCATAGGGGTTAATTCACATATTTTAAGATAAATTAGAAAATATTTTTGTATGGTTTTAATGCATAGTTGCATCATGCACTGACATAATATGAAAATAAAGAGCCTAAACTTCTGAGTTTAGCATTTATCAAAAAACTCGATTTTTTCGTAGGGGGTTATAACCCACATATTTCAAGAAAAATTAGAAAATATGAAAATTTTGTTTTAATGCATATTTGCATCATTCAATGACATATTATGAAGGTTAAAGAGGTTTTAGACCTTTGGTGTTCATGTTTCTCCAGAAAAATAGAATTTTCTTTATAGAGAGTTTGTCCACTGATTAAGTAGCATATGAAATTTAAACAAATTACCTGTTAGAAAATTTGAAATGAAGTCCATGTGTGAAAATAATTTTAATATACATTAATACAAATTTAGAATGTGATTGGGTAATTTTCATCGACAATAAAGAGCATACACTTCTTAACATAGCATTTATCAAAAACTCGATTTTCTGTAGGGGTTAGTTAACCCACATATTTCGAGAAAAATTTGAAAATATGAAAATTTTATTTTAATGAATATTTGCATCATTAACTGACATAGTATGAAGGTTAAAGAGGTTAGAAACCTTAGGTGTTCATGTTTCTCCAGAAAATATAATTTTCTTTATAGGGGGTTTGTCCACT